CTGACGTGCTGAGGGACGCCCGCATCCTTATCCTGCACATGGTGAGCGCCGACCTGCAGCCCGGCGTGCCGCCCCTCATCGCACCCTCTCCCTCCTGGTGACCCCCCACGTCCTCCGTGCCCCCAGGGCCGTGACTTCTCCTTCGATGACTGCGGCCGGGCGTTCACCTGCCTGCCCGTGGAGGAGCCTGGTGCCCCGGCTGAAGCACTGGTCTGCAACCTGGACAGTCTGCTGGGGACCATGACACACAGGGTCTGTGTGCCTTGGGGCCTGGGACTTGTGCTGTGCAGTCGTGGCCACCCTGGTGTGGGAGTGGGTTTGGCCCCCAGCAGGGCAGGAAGGGTGCTGGGTGCCCCACAAGGGCAGGGCCCCTTCCCTGCCATCCCTGGGCACGTGGCCCTTCTCTCAGCAGCTCTGTGTGGGCTCCCCGCCCGGCGTCTGGGTCTGCAGCACTGACATGATCCTCACCGTGCCCTCAGCACCAGGTGAGTGGGTACCAGCCTTGTTTCCATCACCTGTGTTGGCCTGGGACAAGGTTCTGAGCCAGCAGCATAGCTGGTTCAGCCTGGGCTGTGCTCCCATGAGCATGTGGATGCTCAAGCATTGCTGTCCTGTGTGCGGTTGGGAACATCCGTTGTGCCTGCAGTGAAGTGGCCAAGGCTGGATGCTGCTCTCACCTCCTCTGCCAGGGGCCCAGTTTTCAGGCAGTAGTGCCCAGTGTGGGTATGTGCACTGCCCCAGTGAGCACTGGTCTCTGTCCCTCACCCCAGAGATCAGCTGGGATGGCTTCCAGGGTGTCAGAGTGATCGCAGTGCCCGGGAGCACAACATATGCCAGGAACCATGGGGTCTACCTCACCAATGAGCAGGTTGGTGGCAGCTCCCCTGTCACGGACGATCCCTTGGAGTCACAGGGGTCCACACCTCTTTGATCCTTTGGGTCCTGAGGTCCCAGCAGTGCTGTGGCTTCTTGGCTTGGGGCTCTCTGAGGAGCTCACTGGGTTGGTCTCGTTCTCAGGGGCTGGTGCATGATATCGTCTACAAAGGCACAGAGGCCCAGATCCAGCAGTGTGTGAGGCCTGATGGCACTGTCCCGCTGGTATAGCACAACTTCGGCATTAGTGACCCTGCTATCCCTGTCCCTTGTGTCACCACAGCTGCAGCCTCAGCCCCGCTGTGCCCTCGCAGGTCTGTGGGATTGTTTTTTTCTCCTCGGACGCTGCTGAACAGCTTCTGGCCACCCATGTCATCCCTCCTCTGGATGCCTGCACCTACATGGGGCTGGACTCGGGGGCACCACCGATCCAGGTGACAGCCCCTCTGTGGGGGATGGGACCCTTGCACATGGGTGCCACTGCTGGACATCTCTGTAGGGTCTGTTTGCCACCACACCACTAGATTTGGGTGGAAGGTGGTGGTGGGACCCAACAGGAGGGTGGGGGTCAGGGTGTCTGCATCCAACAAGTCTCTTCTCTCCCCAGCTCTCCCTCTTCTTCGACATTGTGCTGTGCATGGCAGGGGGGATGACAGAGGAGGATTTTGTGAAGGGTGGTGGTGACACCAGCGTGAGGAGTGCCCGCTCTGTGCTGTGGACAGCTCTGCGTGGCTTCCCTCTTAGCATGGGTGAGTACTTCCTTCCACCTTCTAGTGGAAGGTGTCCTCTAGTGGAAGCTGTTCCGGCCCATGGGGCTGGAACTAGATCTTTAAGGTCCCTTCCAGCCCCAACCATTCTATGATTATTATGCTGTGTGAGTGTGTGTGACGTGACCCATCCCTGGTCCCTCTTCCCCTGCATGGGGAGAGATGGGGTGATCAGAGTTTGTCAGCTGGCTGTGTGCCCCCATAACTACAGGTCCCCAGGTCTTCTTTCCCTCCCCCCTCAACTGGGGAAGTTCAGCTTGCCTGTCCTGGTCTCATGAGGGTGTCAGGCACACCCATTTTTTGCCAGTGTGCTGCAAGCTCTCCTGCCCTCCCCAGCCTGCATCCCCGACGCCTCCTACGACTACATGACCACCTCAGCGAGTGACCACATCCGCAGCCTGACTCTCCTGCCTGGCTCTGCCAGCCACCTCCGCTTCTGCAAGACAGCCCATTCCCACGTGGATGTATGTTGTTCATGCATGAGCAAGGCTGGGGATCGGTTTTTTGGGGGCTGCTTCAGGCTGTGTGTCTGGACCCAGGTCCCACATGCCTCTGTGTCCTCGACAGCAGCCCTGTCTCCTGGAGGATGGCTCTTCAGTCACCAACTGCCTGCTGGAAGGAGCTGTGCAGCTGGCAGCTGGCAGTGTCATCCAGCACTGTCACCTCCAGGTATGTGACTAGGGTGGGGGTGACCCTGAGCTCCCAGTGCACTGAATGGGCAGCAGGGTGACATGGTGCTGGCTAGGATGGAGGACCCACAGCTGTGAGATCTGGGGTGCCCTTCCTCTTCGGGGCTGGCTTTTGGTGATGCTAGAGAGCCTGCTGGCTGTTACCCTCCACAAGCAAGGCAAGGAGGCTGTTGCCTCTGGGCTGTCCCTTCCTGAGGATCAGGGTAGACCTTCTCCTTGGGGGCCTCTGTGATAGCTCTGAGCCCTGGAGACTCACCTGGCATGAATTTCTGTAGTCTGTGTCCTCACAGCCCTGTGACAAAGCAAATTGTGTCCCTCTGCCATCTGGTTTCTGCTGGCTCCAGCTTGCCTCCCAGGGTGGTCATCAGGTCAGGATTTGGCTCCGGCTTGTGGATCAGCCGTGCCACTCCAGGCCCTTTTGTCTCTTCCTTAGGGTCCCCTGGAGATCGGTCCTGGCTGCCTCCTCTCAGGCCTTGATGTGGGCTCCTCATCAGCTCTGCGAGGCTGTTCCCTGCGTGACGTTGTCCTGCAGGGCCATTATGTCCAGCTGCGTGACGTGTCCTGCCGTGTGTACACTCTGACTGGCCGCCTCGATGACTGGCAGGTGTGGGAGCGGCGAGGTGGCACGAGGCTGCCAGCTAACCCAAGGTGTAACCAGTCCCTCCGTTCCCCTGCAGAGCCCTGTGGAAGAGGCCACCTACCTGAACGTGCCCTGGGCTGAGTTTTTCCAACGGACGGGCATACGGTAGGTGCCACGTGCCAGGATGGACAGGAGACCCAGCTCTGCAGTGGGAGGTGTCACAGCCACCCCAAACCATCCTGCATTCCAGCTGCCCTGGAGCAGTGCTGACAGCCCTCCCTTCATCAGGGAAGGGGACGTTTGGGATGCTGAAACACCACGGAGAAGCCGCTGCCTGCTCAGTGCCCGGCTCTTCCCAGTGCTGCACGCGTGTGAGGCACTGGGGCTGGAGGACGTGCTGTGGCTGCTGGCCCCGGCTGCGGTGGCCGGTGAGCAGCTGACGCGCTGGCGGACGGCCTGGCGCATGTCCTGGCAGGAGCTGCTGCCCTGTCTGAACACAGCGGCCGAGCTGGGTGCCCGCCAGGCCCTCTTCTTCCTGCAGGGCCAGCGCAAGGTGTGGCGAGTGCTGCTGGGGCGCCAGGACTGCAGTCTCCTGCCGCTTGCCCGCAGCGCCGTCTACGAGGGCTACCATGAAGCTGTGCTGAGCACACTGGATGAGGGTAAGCTGGATTCACACTCCCTCATCTCTGGCTGTTGGGACTGTTCAGTGCTCCCCAATCCCTTCGATGAATTCCCCCATTGCAGGAACCCATGAGGGTGCGCCTGCAAACCTGGACGGGTGCAATCTCCCACTCCCCTTGAGCCAGCTTATGGCAGAAGTGTGTTGGTTCGGGTTGACCTACAACCTGGCTGTGGCTTTGCAGCCTTTCATTTTATTTTCCAGTTGCCTCCACGGCCAACAATGCTGGCATTGCAGCACGGGCGCTCGCCTGCATTGCTGAGGTCCTGGGCTGCATGGCACGAGGGGAAGGTGGCTTGCGGAGTGGCCCTGCTGCCAACAGGGAATGGGCCTCGGCTTTCAGGCACCTGGAGAGCGGCGACATCGCCGGCGGTGTCCGGGAATTGGCTGCGGAGCGGCACAAGTGGATGAGCCGGTGAGGCTGGCGAGCAGCAGCTGCCCTGTCCCAGGCATTGGTGCAGTCATGGAGACGTGGCAGGCTCAGCATCCCTCTCATCCCAGGCCAGCTCTGCTGGTGAGAGCGGCTCGGCATTACGAGGGGGCCGAGCAGATCCTCGTCCGGCAGGCGGTGATGTCCTCATGCCGGTTCGTCACCATGGGCCAGGCAGAGCTGCCACCCTTGGGGCATTGGGTGCAGGTGGTGTGTCCAGCCCGCCTGGACCTCTCCGGTGAGTGCGTCCCCCCAGGCAAATGATTCATGTCTCACCCCTGTGATGCTGCAGAAAAAGGAGTTGGGGTGCCCCGGGGGGCTGATG